CCCAAACCAATGCATAAACAACAATTCAATGCAGAAACACCAATTCAATGCAGAAACACCAAATCTATGCAGAAACACCAAACCAATGCAGAAACAACAATTCAATGCAGAAACACCAAACCAATGCAGAAACACCAAATCTATGCAGAAACACCAAATCAATGCAGAAACACCAAATCAATGCAGAAACAACAAATCAATGCATAAACACCAAATCAATGCAGAAACACCAAATCAATGCAGAAACAACAATTCAATACAGAAACAACAATTCAATGCAGAAACAACAATTCAATGCAGAAACACCAATTCAATGCAGAAACAACAAGTCAATGCAGAAACACCAATTCAATGCAGAAACACCAATTCAATGCAGAAAAAACAATTCAATGCAGAAACACCAAACCAATGCAGAAACAACATACCAATGCAGAAACACCAAATCAATGCAGAAACACCAAATCAATGCAGAAACACCAAATCAATGCAGAAACACCAAATCAATGCAGAAACAACAATTCAATACAGAAACAACAATTCAATGCAGAAACAACAATTCAATGCAGAAACACCAATTCAATGCAGAAACAACAATTCAATGCAGAAACACCAATTTAATGCAGAAACACCAATTCAATGCAGAAATAACAATTCAATGCAGAAACACCAAACCAATGCAGAAACAACATACCAATGCAGAAACACCAAATTAATGCAGAAACACCAAACCAATTCAGAAACAACAATTCAATGCAGAAACAACAATTCAATGCAGAAACAACATACCAATGCAGAAACACCAATTCAATGCAGAAACACCAAATCAATGCAAAAACACCAAACCAATGCAGAAACACCAATTCAATGCAGAAACACCAAATCAATGAAAAAACACCAAACCAATGCAGAAACAACATACCAATGCAGAAACAACAATTCAATGCAGAAACACCAATTCAATGCAGAAACAACAACTCAATGCAGAAACAACATACCAATGCAGAAACAACAATTCAATGCAGAAA